TGAATTCCAGCCGGTGAGAGTCATGCACTGGAGTCAGAGGGTTCTGCCCTCCTGGGGAATGATGTGAGAGGGAACCATGCAGTCACATTCAAGTTATTTGAAACAGGACGGGATTTCTGAGTACTGCCTCACGTGGAGCCAGGATCGTCCATCTGAGCCACGCTTCCATCTGTCTTTCCCAACGCTTTCCTCAAATAGCGCAAATATTAAAAGAAATTCAATTGGAATTTGGCATGGATGATTCTTAGGAAAATAGGAGAGGGCCCGCTGCTAAAATACCACTGCCTTGCTCCCTTCCAGCAGCAGACACATGATTCCCAGTGCTAGGAAAGCCGGAGGCAGTGGATGGCTCTGCCTGGCAGAGAAGAGGGGGCTCCAAGGTTGCCGATGCTCCGGCTTTGCCGGGAGAGTGGCACAGCCTGGGTCTCGGAGCTCCAGTGGGGAATCCCGGCTCCCTGGCAGTGAAACCCTCTGCAATTCCATGTTTCCAGCCACCTGGAAGCCTGGTCCCACTGCCCCAAGCCCCAGGCTCCTGACCCTGCACGGTGCAGCCCACATCCCTGCCTTTTCCCGAAGGAATTCTCCCGGAGCCCTCACGTAGCTGTTGGGAATTACAGGAAGATTTCCACAGGGATTTCACTCGTGTCCCAGCTCCCCGAAAACCTCCCCATCCTTTCTTTCGCTTTTAGCTTCACCTCCACCAGCTCCCCCACAAACGCTGTGGTGCTGCAGGGCAGGAAGCTGGTTTATGGCCCGGCTCAGCGCTGGGGACGTGTCACCATTGTGTGTGCTCTCATTTGTCCACGCAGAGGTGGCACTTCCAGCGGCACGTGTGGGATGCAGGTGGAGCTGGCTGCAAGGAGAAGTGTTTGGGGCGAGGATGCTGGGCTTGGGGGTCTTTCTGCCACGACTTTTCCCATCGCTGGGGAGGGATTGAACAGAACTCCAGCAACCCTCAACCTTCATGGCCATCTCCTTCTCCCACCTTGTCCAGTGAATACCAAGGCGCGATGGATCACACAGCCAAGGAGTGCATCCTCTCTCCTCCCCGGCCTCACCCCATCCCACCACCCTCATCTCCCATCTTCCTTCCAGCGCTGCCCAAGAACCCCCGGCTCAGCCAGAACCCGGCCCCATCCCAGCGGAGGCACCGGGCGATGCTGCTGGGCATGGATCCTGCTCTTCCCGCTCCGGCAGCCGTACGGAAACGGCTCTGACATGTGTCAACAATAACCAGCGAACAGGCGGCGGCCCCAGCACCTCGAGGAGGCCCGGACACCCTCGGCTGGAACCAAACCGCAGCCGGGAAGCAGGAATATTGTTTCAATTATTCCCATTATATAAAGTCCAACCATTTTAATATATTCTGCCTCAAAAGGGGCTCAAGGAAAGAGATCAAATAAACACTGGAACTGCGCGCCCCTGGCACGCGCCGCCAGCTCGGGTTCGGCACCGAACCTCACCGTTCGCCTGCCCCTTCCTGCTCCAGGCTCCGGCTCCTCCTCCCGCTGCCCCTCGGCCTCCGGCGCCGCTCGACACCAAATCTGTCTTTGGGCTTTGCTTCTGTTCTGGCAGCCGGAGCGCTCGGAGGCTGCGCGGCTGCACCGGCGGCCAAGCCGGAGCCGAGCCAGAGGAGCCGCGGGAGGGGAGCAACGGTGCTCCTGAGGGATGGAGCGTGGGTTTGAGGCGCATCCTAAACCGTAAGGCAGGACTTAAAGCTCCTGGGGTGCCACATCCGCCTGAGAGCATCAGGATCAGCAGGCCCAGGACTGCCTGAAGGCAGGAGGAGAGCAAGTGTGCTATGAGTGTGTGATGTCTGGTGTCATAGAACCGCAGGCTGGTTTGGGGTGGAAGGGACCTGAAAGCTCCTCCAGCTCCAATCCCTGCCACAGGCAGGGACCCCTTCCACTGGAGCAGCTTGCTCCAACCTGGCCTTGAACACTGCCAGGGATGGGGCAGCCACAGCTTCTCTGGGCACCCTGTGCCATCACCTCAGCACCCTCATAGGGAAGAGCTTCTGCCTAAGAGCTCATCTCCATTTCCCCTCTTTTAGCCACCCTTACACCATCCTTCCTGCCTGGGAGAGCCACCAGCATCCTGTCACCAAGGATGGAGCTGCCTCTGGCCACACAGAGCCCATCTGCTCCCACCAGCTCTGGCCAGGCAGGAGCTGCTTCCCACTGCATCTCCTGTGGCACCAGCATCACTGGAGCTCTCCTCCCTTACCACGCTGTGCCAGGCCAGTTGTTCCTGGAGCGCCCGACCACACCTGGCTCCCACATGGGCAGTAAATCTGCAGCTCGGCCTCTCCCAGCAGGTTTCCATGCGCATCCGCTGGGCTCCGGGCTCTGCCTGCCCCGGGTGGGGGTCCGATCAGTGCCACCGTGACCAGGGATGCTGGCAAGCACCACGGTGCTGGGTTAGGTGGAGCTGGCATTTCATAAGCACAAGGGAAAGGGCCTCTGCGGAGCAGGGAGCGGCTGTGACTCCATTCCTGTGGGAAGTGCCTGCCACCGTCCAAGCATCTGGCCCTGTTATGATGGGAGAGGAATGCCAAATATTTTTCTTCCTTATCCACTACCATCCGCTCAAACCCTCCCTGATCAAACCCACATTCATCCCCTTGGATGCACGAGGGCCCCTGCTCCGGAGATCTCCCTCCCAGTGGCTGATCCAGCCTATGGGAAGCTCATTGCAGGTGGGGAGATAACCCTGCCTTCATCCAGGGGCTCCATCCATCTCGCAGCCCCTCATTGCCTCCTTCCCCCTGCTTCCAGCCACCTCCAACTGTTTCATTTTCACTTTGTTACCTTGGGCAGGAGCATCCTGATGCCTGTATCCCCGTGCCAGCATCCCTTGGTGCCTGCATCCCCGTGCCAGCATCCCTACTGCCAGCATCCCTGTGCCAGCAACCCTGGTGCCTCTATCCCTGCACCAGCATCTTGTGCCATCATCCCTGTGCCTGCATCCCTCTGCCAGCATCCCCGTGCCAGTATTCCTGACTAACCTGTGGCCCTGCCAGGACCACGCTGTCCCACCCAGAGCCCCTGTTATCCCAAAAGCAGCCCCTGGGGTGGTGCTCCGGGAAGCAGGCAGTGCTGCCTTGGAGAATCACCAAGATTTCTCCAGAGATGAAAGCGTGCTCAAGTGTCAAACTAACTTTCCAAACGATCTTCCTGGACCCTTGCTTCCTGGTGCTTTGGAAGGCAGAGGAGGAACATTTCATTCCCTGTGCGCTGGCTGTGGCTGCTCCCCGGCATCACCCTGAGTCACTGTGGTTGCCACCCCGGCAGCATTAATCCGGGCTCCCCAGAGCACTTCCTGGCACAAGAGAGGGGATCCACGCTGGATTACTCAGCGGACAGCACATCCTCCCTTCCTTCCCACTGCAGTCTTCAGAGCAGCAGTCATAGAGAGCCGAAGGAGAGGGTTTCCCTGCTCCCTCCGGGACACCCGGCACCCAGCAGCAGGGATCCAGGATCCTGGCAAACCCGGTGATGAGTGTGAGCACACTGCCACGTGCTCACGGGCTGTTCCCGGGGAGCCATCGCTAATGAGAGACACCTCATTAGAGCCTGCTCCAGCATCCACAAGCCTGCTCCAGCAGCCGGGGCCAAGGCACTTCCCTTGCACTGCGTTTCCCTTCCGTGTCTGACAAGGACAATTCCCAAGCAGCTCCTGGGGAGCCAGTCACCCACAAGCACCGTTGCAGCCCATACTCAAGTAGCTCCAATGCCGTTGCCGTATCCAGCTCCTGTGCTGGATGGCAGCGCCATGTCCGTGCCCACAGATCCCCCAAGCCCATGCAGATCCATGATGGGAATGCTGCGTTGAGGGCTCGGTTGTTTATGGAAAGTAAGGCTGAGCCAGCTGCTGGAAACCTGCATTTTATGGGTATTTTTTCAATTTCTTTGGCATTTATTTGGAGTATTTCAATTCATTGGCATTAGAAAAAACAGACCTAAAGTGATCCCAACCATTATTGCTGCTGGTTTCCTATGGCCAGGCCAAAGGGGGTGAAACGGCTTCTTTGTTGTCTGAATCATTAACTCCTTGGGAATGAAACGTGGTGGTGCTGGATGGGAGCAGTGCAGGGAGATGTTCAGGGAGGCTGGGGCAGATGGAGGGAGAAATTCACGGGGGTAGAGAGCAAATCCCAGTTCAACCAGTGCAACCTGCACGAGTGAAGCAGAAACTCTGTTGATTGCCTGGAAACCATCAGGACCAAGGTCCAAACCCAACTCATCTCCATGGGGTGCAGTGTAATGGCAGAGCCACCTGAGCCCAGCTCAAGCAACACTGGGGTTACCCCAAAAGCTGGGATCCAATCCTTGCTCCTTTCATTTCCCTGTCCCACACGGCCGCTGGGGCTGGCACATGCCGGCACGGTGGGATGAGCACATGGAGCTGCCAGGACGGGCACCCAGGGCTCACCTGGTGACCAAGGCGCTGCAGACGAGCCCCCTTCCCCTCCTGTCCTGCAGCCCGTGGGCAAACTGAGAGCTCCCTGGGGTGCGTTTTGGGGAGCACTGAATGGGGCAAGGACGAGGGGGGGCTGAGAACGGCTCAGTTTGGCTCAGTGCAGCTCGGCTTAGCGTGGCTCAGCCGGGCTCAGCTCCACTCAGCCCAGCTGGGCTCAGCTCATCTCCAGCAGCTGAGAGGGAAGTGAGTTCTTGACTCGGATAAATCAGAGTCAGCTGCAGCCCTGGGACAGCAAAGAGCAGATCCAGAGCCGGAGGAGCCGGACCCCACCACGGCTCCCGGCCAGGCTCAGCAGCCCGGGGAAGAGGGGGGGCTGTCTCAGACAGCGTCACAGCCTGGCTCCGCCCCCCCCAAATCACAGGGGTCCGGCGTGGGTCTGGCTCTGGGATGGCAGCGGCACAGTCGGAGCGCGGTGGGGCAGCGGGACGGGTCCCGGCCGCGGGCTCTGCAGCCGGTTCGCCCGCAGGCGGCTCTGTCGCTGCTGGAGGGGGGGGTCTTGGTGTTATTATAGAGAAGGGGGGGCTGGCAGCGGGTATAAAGGCAGAGCTCCCCGGAGCGGCCGGCGCTGTCCCACCGCCATGAGCCCCTGCCCACCCGGCTCCCGCTCCCTTAAAGCGCGGCAGCCCCGCGGTGGGATGGAGTGAGCCCGGAGCCGCTCTGCTCCCTCCTTCCCAGCGCCCCTCGGCTGGCTCCGGAGGGAGGCGACGAGCCCGCAGCCGCTTGGATGCTTTGATTCCTTCCCTGCCCGAACCGCCTCCTGCCCAGATGCAGTGGATAATATTCATGTTGCTGTTATTCATCAGCTCCATGGAAATGCTCACGCAGAACCGATGGAAGAAGCAAGGTACGGTGCGTGCGCGGCCGGATCGTCCCGCTCAGGTACATGGGGCCAATGGGGGCAGTGACCTCCTCTGCCGGTGCTGGAGGTGTGAAGCTGGAAGGAGCCGGGAATCTGCATTCCCCAACCCAACCCCTCGGGGCCCGTTGGACACCGGCTGCTTCCCCTCCCGGTGCATGGCACGGGGCTGGTGCAGAGACATGTGGAGAAGGCGAAGTGCTGTCCCATGGCATTGCCAGCCCTGCCCTCGGGGCAAGGGAGAGGGGAAACTGGCACAGGGGCTGCTTGTGCAAGCCCCAGGTGGGATAGAGCAGAACTGGGTGATTTTCTGGTATTTCTCTGCTTAAAGCATTGGGAGTAAAATCTCTTAGGGGGATGCTGAGAGCCGCTGCAGGCACTGCCTGTCCCCTGCACCAGCCGAACTGCTGCTTGGTGCTAGGGCTGTGCCAAGGCACACGCACCCTCCTTTGGGCACTGGCTCGTGTCTCCTTGGCAGTGGCTGAGGCTTGACTGGCACTGAGAGGAGCTCAGGATGCTGAGCAGCCTCATGCTATGGGATGCACGGGAGACTCAGGTCCTGGCAGCACCCAGGGGTCTGCCCATGGCTCTGCACCTCAAACACACATTCTATCTCCTGCTATAAGCAATGCAGAAGGGCTGGCACAGTCTGTAGGGTCTGGAAGGTCTGAGGGGTGCTGCTGCACTCCACAACTACCCCACTGCAATCAGGAGCTGCCTCCATGAGCTCTGCTGCCCTGGAGGGGTGGTCCAAGCAGTGCCAACAGAGCCCATGGCAGCAGAGCTGGGCACTGATGGGTGATGTCCCTCATGTCTGGCACACTGGCTCTGCAGGCACTGATGGGCAGCGGTAACCCTAATTTCCCTAGTCCTGTTTTTGGTGCGTGGCACATCCCATTATACGGTAGAGCCATCCAGCAGCTCCCTGGTGTCGCTCCCGGCACAGTGGCACGTGCCATGCCGGTAGCTGTGATGCTCATGGTGCCAAGGAGCAGGATCTGTCTGGCCAGCCCTTCCCAAGCTCTGCACCCCGGGGCTATTTCTAAAGCCTGGGAGGGCTCCCACATCCCCTGCCCCACATGGGGGCTGGAAAGAGAGCGGCAAAGAAAAAGTCCTCAGAAAGAGCAAGGGAAGGGAAAGAAGCTCGTAAATCCCTGGGAAGTCTCCAGGGAAGCGGCTCCGGCTGCAGCCAGGAACACAAATGTTGTCAGCGTTTGGTAAATATGAAACGGAGACCATAACAACTTAATGGATCCAAGGTGCTTCGTTAGCGCGCTCCCAGCAGCCACGGCACTAACGAAGCCTCGTGGCCGCTGCCACTGTCCAGGCCCCTGTGCCGCGGGGAGGGAACAGGGATGAGCCTCACTGGGGCCCGGTACACGGCACCACTGCACCAGGGGCTTGCGCCAGGGACATTGAGGCAGCTCCCAGCATCTTTCCTGGCTTCCCCAGCACCCACCTCTGCCCTGGCACCGCAGCCATGGGGCTCCTGCTGCTGTCAGCTCCTGGGGTCAGAGAGGAGCAGTGCTGGGCAGCGCTCCCGGGGGTGAAGTTCATGTCTGGCTCCTTTGGCTCAGAGTTATCCAGGGCAGGTCCCTTCTAGAGCTTGGATCCAGGGATCCGCATCAGCCCTTGTCTGTCCCAGCTGCAGGCTCTGGGCTCTGCTCTGCCCAGGGCAGACACCTCCTTAGACCTTTACCAAGCGCAAAAAAACATTTTGATGCTCCAAGATGTGCTGGCAGATGGAGTCTGGCACTGGCTCTGTTACTGCTGTGCAACAGGAGCCTTTGCTCGGGAGCATCCAGAGGACCTCAAGGTGCTGGAGCCAAGCAAACCCTTCCCAACACAGCAGAGATGTCAGCCGCCCGTGCAGGAGCTTGCAGGCCTCTCACAGAGATGCCCAGCCAGCCTGGGGGTGCAAAGAGAGCCCGGGTGCTAGTAGCCCCCAGTTGCAACCTGGATCCATGCCGGGAGCATCTCCCCGGGCCGCATTTCCCCGGTACTGGGATCCAGGAGGAGCTGTTGGCCGGAGCTCCATGGGCTCTGCTGGGGCTGCGGGCTTGAGGGGGGGGCCTGGCACCCGTCCTCGCTGGGAGCAGAGCCCACCGTGGGGCCTGCTGCCCTCACGCAGGTCAGGAGCACGGCAGAGGCAGCCAAGGAGGCGGCAGAGGCTCTTTAGCAACCAGACAGATCCTTATCTCGGCTCCTCTTGAGTGTTTCCAAAATCCCTTTGTCCCCTGACACTTAACAGGCATCAACCAATTAATCCAGGTCAGAGCATGTTTCTACTGCCAGAGCTGTTGTTTAGCTCCCATTAGGATGCTTCTCACGGGCTGGGGATGGCTGGTGCTGCAGGGCTTAGCCTGGGAGTGGGTGAACACTCAGCCCTGGATATTGGGGTGTCGGAGGGGGTGATGCCCAAGTAGTGGGGAGCAATGGATTTGCGCATTCCCATGCTGGCAGACAGGCAAACAGCAGGGATTTGGGGAGGTGTTTGCAGGGGCTCAGGACAGTGCTGTCACCCCCATGGGGATGGCATGGGGCTGGGACCCTCCCTGGCACCTTGGCCATGCCATGTGTGTGTGTGTCCCCGCAGCGAGCGCCGGCCTGCTGGAGAACTGCACGGGCTGCGTGCTGTGCTCCGAGGACAACGGCTGCATCACCTGCCACCACCGGCTCTTCCTGCTCATCTGGAGGGACGGCATCCGCCAGTTCGGGATGTGCGTCCACACCTGCCCCCCCGGCTACTTCGGCGTGCGGGGACTGGAGGTCAACAGATGCACGAGTAGGTCCCGGGGTCCTCCCAGTGCCCCGGGAGGGGTGATGGATGGTGGCACAGAGCCGGTGGCCATGGGGCTCCCTCCCCTTTCCCCATCCCAGACCCCACAGGTTGCCAAAGGGCTCTGGGTTCCTGGTGGGCACCGGGGCTCCGGGCTCTCCCGGCTGAGCATCCCTCCTCCTCACAGAGTGCAGGTCTCCGAGCTGCGAGAGCTGCTTCAGCAGAGACTTCTGCATGAAGTGCAAAGACAAGTTCTACCTGCACAAGGGCCAGTGCTTTCGGCAGTGCCCCCCCAGCACCGCGGTGCAGCCCGGCACCCGCGAGTGCCAAGGTAAGGAGCACCCGCACCCCATCCCCGTGGTCCCTGGGGTGATGCCCGGTGCTGCGCGGTCACCGGCCCCGCTCTGAGCCCCTGTCCCCCGCAGAAACGTGCGAGCCGGGCCCCTGGAGCGAGTGGAGCCCCTGCACCCACGAGAGCCGGACCTGCGGCTGCAAGTGGGGCGTGGAGACGCGGGTCCGGGAGGTGTCGGGGGCCGCCCGGGAGGAAGGAGCCGCCTGCCCCGCGCTGCTGGAGACGCGGAAGTGCCGCATGAGGAAGCACTGCCCAGGAGGTGAGCATCGCATCGCGGGCAGCCCGCCCCATAGCCTGCCCTACAGCCCGCCCCATAGCCAGCCCTACAGCCTGCCCCACAGCCCGGCCCATAGCATCTGTCCCACAGCCCGGCTGTCACCCCCGGCATCCTGCGGCCGGTGGCTGTAACTGGAGTTACAGGCACATGTGCTGTGCAGCCCCGGTGCTGGTGCTGGTCCTGGCCGAGGGGCTGGGGTACCCCTGCGGCAGCTCCTGGCACCGGCCGGTGTCTGCATCCGCTGCTGGGCTGGGCTGGCCGCTGGTGGGAGCCTCTGTGATGGAATGAGGCTGGCAAGGGAGAGGAAAGCACGGCCAGAGCTTTCTGCAGCACAGTTGTGAATAAGGAGGGTTGAGAACAGCAGGAAAGGTTCCTTCGATACCCACTGAGCCCCAGAAACACTCACAGAGCTCGAAGGCATCACCCAGGGCGCTTCTGATGGCCGAAGCCTTGGGTGATATCCCAGAACAGAGCTCTTCTCCATGGATAACCCAGCCAGATGTTGGCCCCTGCTCTTGTGCCTTCTCGCACTGTGGCAGCACCACGTCCCATGGGCTGGGGGCTCCTCGGCACTGAGCTCCCTGGCTCAGGGCTTCCCACCACGTCTCCCATGTCCCGTCCCTGGTTGCCGGGGCCGTGCGGGCACGTGGCTGGCGCTGGGAACAAGGAGGCGGCTGATGTCATTTTTGGATGCAACCGGCTGGACCGAAGCCGTTCTAATAAATCTCCCCTTCACAACTGGCAGAAGGGGGGGGATTGCAATGGGATACGGATGTGCCGGGCCTGGCAGCAGATCTGAGCCGCGGCGCTTGGCGGGCCCGAGGCGCGGGCTCGCGCTGTGCCGGCGGACGTGCCGGCCAGCACCGCCAGCGTGGCAGCGCCGCGGTACCCCAAGGAAGGGACCAGCCCGAGGATGGAGCAATGGGGGCAGTGATGGGACGTGCGTGCTGAGGCTGGGGCCGTGGAGCCAGAAGAGCAGCTTTGTCCCAGCGCTATCAATCGTAAATCAGGTTTTACTGCTGACAGCACAGAGGAGCCGATTTCCTTCCCCAGCCGGGCCCTGGCTCGCGGCCTTGGGGTGCCAGGTGGCATCGATTTGGGGGACGTTCCCATCCCCGCTGGGCTGCTCCGTCTCTGGACCCAGCGAGCTGGTGACAGTTTGATGCAGCCGTTATGGTGTGCCAGGACTGGCTGTTCCGGAGCACAGTGTCCCGCAGCGGGGTGCCGGGTGTCTGCAGCCCCAAGCCTTGTCCTGGAAGCAGGGAATGCCATTCCAGTGCTCCAGAGGTGCCTTGGATTGGGAGGTGACTGAGAAGGCAACAGCACCCTGGAAAAGCGCTTGGGCTCTTGTCCCTGAGCTGATGAGCTCGGGGAGCATCAGGGCTCCTCAAGGGTGCTACCTGGGATTAGATCTACCCCCGGGAAGGCAGAGGGGAACCCATCAGTGCCTCACAAGCAGCCCCACTACCCCAGCCAGGAGGCAGGAGAGGGCAGCCCTCAGTGCCCATCATCACCAGGCCGGCTGCTCAGTGTCCCCTGCCCTGGCTCCCAGGCTCCTGCCCGCCCAGCCAAGTGCTGGGTTATGGGATCCAGATGCTGGAGGAGGACAATGAGTTCACTGGATGCAGCCGAGACACCCCCAGCCTGGGCGAGCAGGGGAAGGCAGCAGCGGGGCCCGAGCGTGTGAGGAGAGATTTGTGCCACCACTTCTAAGCCGTCCGCAGGCAGCTGGAAGGGGGAAGCATCCGCGCTTGGCCGAGGCACAAACCCCTCGCGCTGCTGTAAATCTGTCCTGTGTGTCTGCTGCGCTCGGCGTTCGTGCTGTGCCCTCGCCTCGGTGGGTGGCAGCTGCCTGGGAGAGCGGAGCTGGAAAACAGAGATGGGCAGGGAAAGGAGACGGAGCCATCGGAAAGGACCGGCCGCTCACCGGCCCCGTGCCCCTCACACAGGGGATGTGTGGGGAGAGGGGCACCAGACCCCTCTTATTGCCCACCTTTAAGTCAGGAGAGCGCATGGGTGGCAGAAGAAGTGAAGCTTCCCCGTTTTGGGGCAGCCATTCTGCTCCCAAGTAGAGGTTCCCCTTCCCATTGGAACACATGGCACAGCAGATCTTCTCCTGCATCCCTGTTTGCTTTGGTGTCTCAGCACCAACACCTCAACCAGTGCTTTGGGGAGTCCCTTGGCGTGTGCAAGATCTGGGGACCACCAGTGCTGAGTCCCTGCAGGCTGACAGCAGGATGCAGCCAAGCTCCACTGGTGCCTGGTCAAGGAGCATCCACACAGGGATGGGAGAGCTGTGGCACAGCTTTGGAGCGCTGATGCAGCCATAGTTGTGCTCCAGCATCCCCAGTCCTTGCTCAGAGGGAAGTTGGGGTACCTCAGGCGTGCCCCTAGGTTGGCCGAGCATCTCCCAACCCATTCCTGGAGATTTTGGGGTACCAGAATTTAGGATCTGGCCGTGGAAACTGGGGGGCAATGCACTGGTGTCCCTCTGCCCATGCTGCCAGCACTCAGACCTCCCCATGCTGCTGTTTGGTGACCTGGAGAGGGCTTTGGGGTCCCCCAGATTGGGAAGAGGGTCCTGCCTCACACCGGAGGGAGGATGCGGGGTGTGCACCCCATGGATGGGGCTCGGTCCTGACGAGCGATCCCTCCTTTTCTCCTCTTTCCCGTTCCAGAGAAAACCGAACCCAAAACTAAAGGCAAGAAGAGGCAGAAGAAGCCGAAGACAGAACCAGAGGCGGGTACTTAGCGGCTCCAGCACTGGAGCTGGGGCGGCGCGGTGGGAGCAGGGTGGGAGCTCTCGGAGCCCCTGGCCAGGGCTCCCACCGCGCTGCCCCAGCCGCATCACCCCAGTTTTCCATCCACAACACAATTGCACAACGTTTTCTCTCCCCCCCCCTTTTCTTTTGACACAATTTATGGCCTGTAAAACATTTCCTTTTCAGAAAATCTAATTTGCAGCGTCCAAAGCAATGCCCTGGGGCTTGGGGAGGGGGGTGGCTCCTTCACTTCGCTGGTTTTCCCTCTCCCCCGGCCTGCGCCGTCCCTTCCCGTGCTCCAGACGGCTGGGATGGGGTTGGACCCTGCTGGTGAAGATGGTGTCTGCCTGCGGATCACCCCTCAGGGCTGGGAGATGCTCTGCTCCCACGGGGTCCCGATTGCACAGGGATGCTCTGGTGCCATACAAGTCCTCCCATCCTCAGCTAGTGGCACAGAGGACAGTGGGACGCCAAGGATGGGACCCCTCTGGAGACCAGCCCAGTGCTCAGCATCCCCCCCCACAGCACAACCATGGACCATATCCTGCCATCGTCAGGCTTACAGAAGGGCTGGAAGAACTTCTCTCCCCAGCTGGATGTGGGCAGAGGAATTTGGGATCCCATAGCCACGCTCGGTCCAGGACAAGGGCATATATGATGCCACCGCAGCGACTGGAGCAGGGAATGGTGCTGCCTCCAGCATTGCCCGGTGGATGCCCTGGGAGCAGCCTCATGCCAGCCATCAGCAGGGGTGCTGAGCCACGCTCACGTCACCTGCAGAACTCACAGCTGAATGTCCATAAGGGAGTCCATCAGCAGGTTCAATGAGTGCTCGCTCATGTTGCTCCCACAGGCACTGCTGCATTTGGGGGTGTGCCGGGGTCCGAGCCCCCATCCCGAGGTCTGGCACTGGCACATGGGGGCTGCGGGGGCCGCACAGACCCTTCAGGATGAGAGCACTGGGTGTCAGCATCGAGCCAGCCCCGGAGCTGTTCGCTTCATGTCCAATAAACGCACAAAACCTCCGGCACGGCCCTGCCTGCCTGCAGTCCTCATTCCCAGCAGGAGCCATCCCCACGAGGATGGGGATGAGCCGCCAGGACCCTGCCCTGGCCACCAGGCACGGGGGGGAGTCTGAGGAGAGACTTTAAAGCCGTTAAAGCATCCCCAGCATCACTCGGTGCTGAAGGCAGAGGGAAGATCCTCACCGGGAATGCTCCCTGCAGCTATCCTGGGCTCGGCTCTGCCACCGGGAAGCACTGAGGGGCTCATCCAGCCGGTTGCTAATGAAATGACAGTATCAGCTCTCGCAGCTATGGCTGGGTTCAGCAGTGTAATCCGCTTACTGTGAAGGCACAACTGCTGCCGCTGGCCCCTTGGCAGCTCTCACATTTCCTATGGAGGAGCCTGGAGCACCCCACTCATTGGGCTCACAGCATCCTGCAGTGACCAGGGTCTGTTCTCCAGCTCCATGGCTGTGTGACCAGCCTGGTGTGTTGGGACACCCGTCTGTCCCCAATGCTGGGAGAAAACCACCTCCTCCTGTGGTGCTCGGGCATCCCCACTCTGTCATTGTCCCCTCCTGGGGGACCCAGCATTGATCTATACCAGCACATAGGCTGCAAGCTGCACTGGGAGGGGATCCCCAGTGGACCCCCAGTCTGAGTTCTGGGCACCCCAAGCCCTCTGCAGGGTCTGGCCGGGTCCTGCCAAGCTCCGCCTGAGACTCAGCCCCCATCCTGGTCCCCACGGGCTCATCCCGTGACCAAATCCAGGCCTGGCTCCATCCCATGTTATAAATAGCCGGGATGCAGGGAGGGAGCTCTTGCTGCCGGGATCGGGGTGCCCCGGGGGTGCTGGGACCCACTGGGTACTACTGGGGGGGGGCTCACCCGGTGTCGGGGCTGGATGGTGGGTACCGGGGCTGGGAGGTGCAATGAGCTGTGCAGAGAGCGGCCGGGGGGGGTGTGTGGGGTGTGTGTGTGATGGGTGCTTGTGTGTGTGTGTGTGTGTGTGTGTGTGTGTGTGCGAGGCATGCAGCGATCACGTGTGAAACTTGATCTGCGCGCAGTGGGCTCGGGGGGGGAGCAAAAAGGCACAGAATTGTTTTCAAACCGTTTTTTTTTCCTCTTGTTTTCATTCCGGGGTTGGTTTTTTTCCCCCTCTCCCCCCGCCGATAAAAGCCCGGAGCCGGCTCCGAGGGAGGAAATGCCAAAACTGCCGCGCTGCTCCGGCTCGGCGGCGAGAGCCCGCTGACCCAGCCGCCGGCATCCCCGGCCGCAGCATCCCGGCTCCCAGCCGGTACCGAGCGGCACCATGCGGGCGCTGAGCCTCGGCCTCCTGGCGCTCACCTGTGCCGTGGCCGCGCTGTGCGGGGCCGGAGCGCAGCGCCGGGCGCTGGACGGGGGCAGCCGCCGGCGCTACCACCGGGTGCAGCACGGGCACTGCAGTTACACCTTCGTGCTGCCCGAGACCGACCCCGCGCCCTGCGCGGCCGCCGCCGCAGCCGCTGCCCACGGCCCGGCCAACGCGCTCCTGCAGCGGGACTCGCCGGCCGGCACCGCGCACGGCGGCCACCGCGCGGCCCAGCGCCTGCGGCACCTCGAGAGCGTCCTGGAGAACAGCACCCAGTGGCTGCTGAAGGTGGGTGAGGGCACGGGGGGGGGCTCTGCCGGCAGCGCCCATGGGTGCAGCATCCTCGTACCGCCTGCCTGGGCCAGCAGAGATGCGTGGGGGTCTTGTGCCGGGTCAGCATCTCCCCTGCAACCTGTTTGCACCAGGTGGGGACTCCCTGGAGGAGGATGGGTGCTGTGGGTGATGTTGGTGCTGCGGGTGTTGTGGGTGCTGCAGATGCTGTGGGTGATGTTGGTGCTGTGGGTGTTGTGGGTGCTGCAGTGTGAGTACTGCAGCTCCTGGGTGCTATAGCTCACCGGCGTTTGCCTGTATCCTGCTATCACCCCTGCCATGGCTCTTCGTGGTCCCACCACAATGGAGCAGGGACAGTGGAGATCAGCGCTCCTTGTTCTGGATCAGGATGCTGGAAAGCTCTCGGGAAGGCTGTTGGCAGGCAGCAGAGAGAGGGACCTAAGGGCAGGAGCCACCAAAACCGCTCCAGCTCCATCATGTTCCCACTCATGGGCTTTGCAAAAGCTCCTGGCGCTTGGTAAGACTTTGAGTGGGGCCCATGGCTCCCTGTGGCCCTGTGACATGTTGGGGGCTGCAGGGTGGAGGGCAGTGGGGTGCCCATGGGGGTGCCCCCACCCCGGCTCTCCCCATCCCCATGACTGGAAGCAGGAAGCGGCATTTCCTTCCGGAGAGCTCAAGCGCTGATGGAGCCCCATCTGCGGGAGCCTGCGTCAGACCCAGGAATAGCTCCCGGCGGCTCATCCCGCGGGACACAGCAGCAGCACTCTGGGTGCTTGTCCTGATGAGGGCACGCGGCTTGTCCCAGCCACCACTGACCCTCCAGGCCAATGGCATCGCCGGCACGGCCACATCCCTGTCCTGGCAGTGGATGCAGTGGGACGTGGGTGGCTTTGCACCCTGATTTCCCGGATGATGCCAGGCAGCAGCACTGGGGCTGGGCTGAATGCACCGAGTGGGGTCCCAGGGTGGCCCAGGAGCCTCTCCTGGCTATGGGGCAGCAGGGACATGCAGGGCTGTTCCCTCATCCACACTAGATGACAAATTCCTCAAAGGCTGGAAAATGCTGATCCATGAAAGCCATGCCGGGATGCCCCAGAGGGACCAGCAGAGCCTGTCACCACCCAGCCGGGGGCAGTGAGTCTCCATCACTGCGGGACCTGCTGGGTCTCCTGTGCATGCACAGCCTGGGGTACGTGTGCCCGGGGTTCCTGCCTTGGGGAACCTGCTCCTTGGCCTCCCTGCCCTGGGTGCCCAAGCTCTGAGCTTCTCTTGGGGTGAGCACAACCTCTAGGCATGCCCAACAAGGCAGGGGCTGTGGGTCCCACCACAAGTGCACATAACTGAAACAGATGTGGGGCTGCACATCTGGGCAGCGGTGGGCAGCGATGCCCCACACTGCAGCCCCAAGGAGCACGAGGCAGCGGGGCACTGGGCAGTGGTTACCCCATCCCGTTATCCCAGCTCATCCCACCCCATTATCCCACCGCACCCCACAGCACGCCCCTCTGCTTTCGGAGGCAGCCCACAGCGATGTTTTGCTGTTGCTCCTCGGCATTCCCAATCCACTTGAGCTGCCCAGGGAAGCTTGTTTTGGTCGGGCTCCAGGCCTGAACAAACAAGCCAGGCCTCGAAGGAGGTATCGGGTTTGGGGATGGATTGTGAACATCGCATCCCCGTCTGCTCTGCCCTGGCCCAGGGAGCCTGGCCGGGTGCTGGGGGCTGCTGGGCTCCCGAGGCCCCTTTGTCTCCCCCAGGAGCCCCATACACAGCGCTGGGATGTTGCTCCATCCTCCCCACGTGCAGCCCTCAGTGCTGGGGAGGGACAGGGACATGGCCAGCACCCAGCACACGAGGACGTGCGGCTTCTCCCTGTCCCATCAGCTGCTCCTGACACAGGAGGAATTCATTTGAGTTCAGACACAAACATTTGATGGGGCCACCACGTCTGGGCAGGATGGGGTCCCCCTGGTGAGGTACAGGCAGCAGCTGAGGGGTTTCTCCCACCTCTGGACCCCCCAACCAGTGCTTGTGAGATGCTTGGAAATACCAGTGCAGATGGGGACAGGGGAGGGTTGGGGCTGCAAGAAGGCAGCACAGAACCATCCAGCCCTGGGCAACAGGTCCCCAGCACTGGGACAGCAGGGTGCTGGGGTCCCTCCTGCTTCAGAGCAGCTTTTGGGGTGGCCAACAGCACCTCTCCCCTCCCCGGGGAGGGATGAGGTTGGTGGGACCCTGCTCACCTCGGTACCCATGGGCTGAAGGGGAGACAATCCCAGATCCCTGTGCTCTGCACAGACCCCACTTGGGTCCCCAGTGCCACCCACGGTCGGGGTCACTGCACCCCTCTCCAGCCCCTGCTGCTCCCAGGCCGATGCTGGGGCCGGGAGCGGGGGCTCCGTGTCCTTCTCAGCCCTCCCCGTGCCAGCCTGACCTTTTCCATGGGTATGTTCTGCCCCGGAGCTTCGAGATCTGTTTATTTAATAGGGGGAAAAAAAAGCAGCCAAGCGAATGGGGGGGAGGAAAGGCCTCCCCGAGCCTGTGAAGCAACAAGATTAACGACGTGGTTAAAGGGAAACTCTCCAGCAATCACTCAGCTCGGGAAATGTTTTCCAGACGTGGCTCTCCGACCTTTCCCCGTTTCCTCCTCACGAGCGGGCTCCTCCAAGGGAAGATCCCCCAGGATCGGGGGGCAGGCGGCGCTGGATGGGATGCCCAGCGCTGGGACCCTGCTGCCCGCTATGGGTGCTCGCAGTGGGGTGATGGCTCTGCTGCTCGCTGGGGCTGGGAAGCAGGGGCCGGGGCCTCACTGCGATTTCATCATGTGCAAACAAGTGCAAGAGCAGAGCCCTGCGCCCTGGCCCGCTGCCGGCCCCGCTCCCGTGCCAAGCATCCCGGCAGCACCATCCCACCCTGCCAGCGCCGCCGGGCCCGGGCTCCCATGAGCTGCGCTGCGCCGGGATGCGGGGCTGGGATGCGGGATCTCCCTGCTGTGGGGTTGCGTTCCCAGCGTGGGCAGCGCAGCCCCTTCCGCTCCCCACGGCCTCTGCCGAAGCCCCATGTCCCCCGCGGCCGAATGGGAACCTCATGGAGGGGCTGCCAGGAATAGAAAAGGCCTTTGGGAAAAGCGGCTCCCCGCGGGCTGGGAAAGAGGAAGCGGGAGCTCAGCTGTGTCCACAGCGGCTTCTTCCCAGCCCTGAGCTCTTCCCTGTGGCGGGGCAGCACCGGGTGATGGACACCCACCTTCCCCGGCCCCTGCTGGCCTCAACCTCCACATTCCCGGCCATGGGAATGTGGCGTCGGGGGGCTGGCAGCTGATGCTGATGCTGGACACGCTCTTCCAAGCCTCCCCAGCTTGCCAGCACACACAGCCCTGTGCCAGCTCCAAGGAATGTGGTGCCCAAAGGGGCTCCCCCGCAGCAGCACAGCCCATGGGCAGCTCACTCTGACAAGCCCCAAAGAGCCTGGGGATGGGATGTGCCCGCGGCTGTGCCAGGGAGCTTCCCAAATGAGCCGCCCCATTCCTGCTCCCCCCCCTGCAGCTGGAGAGCTACATCCAGACGGGCATGAAGCCGGAGGTGGCACAGGCAGCGGTGCAGAACCAAACGGCCACCATGCTGGAGATCGGCAGCAGCCTCCTCAACCAGAGCGCCGCGCAGAGCCGCAAGCTCACCGACGTGGAGGCCCAGGTACAACCCCTGTCTGTCCGTGTCCCCCCCCACCCCGGGCCCCACAGCCCCCCCCGGGCCCGTGGCAAGGAGCACGGGGGCTCTGCTGCTAAAGCACCCCGAGGTGGGGCATGGCTCAATGCACCGGTGGCACCAGGGGCATGGTGTGGCCGTGGGTGCTCACAGGGATGCTCCGGGGGTAGGTGCTGAACCAGACGTCGCGCATCGAGATGCAGCTGCAGGAGAACTCGCTGTCCACCACCAAGCTGGAGAAGCAGCTCCTGCTGCAGACCAACGAGATTCACAAGCTGCAGAACAGGAACAAGTAGGGCCTGGAGGGGGGGCCCCCCCCAGACCCCAACGGGTGTCTCCCATCCCAGGAGCAGGGATGCACTTTGGGGAGGGTTAAACTTGCTCAGGGACTGGCTGGGGTCCATGGTGGAGGGGGGTCCCACAGCCCCAGCACAGACCTTTGGGCACTGGTTTCCCTTTGCTAAGCGTATCCTAGAGGTGCACAGTGGGGTATGATTTTGTGGGTGCTGCAGGGGATGGGCTAGCTCTGGGTCCCCACTGACGGGCCTGGGTACCACAGCTGGGGCTGGGGCTGCACAGCCACTGTGTTCACAGCCTCCCCATCGCCGCTGCCTCCCCCTTCCAGCATCCTGGAGGTGCGGGTGCTGGAGATGGAGACCAAGCACCAGGAGGAGCTGGTGGGGGCCCGCTCGGAGAAGGAGAAGCTGCGGCGGTTGGTGAGCCGGCAGAGCGGCACCATCGAGGAGCTGGAGAAGTCGCTGCTGGCCGCCAGTGCCAACACCAGCCTGCTCCAGCGCCAGCAGCTCCAGCTCCTCGAGTCCGTGCAGAGCCTGGTGCGCCTCGTGTCCCAGGGCAGAGGTGAGGTGGGGCCGTGCGGGCAGGGTGCGGGCAGGGTGCAGGCAGCGGGAGAGCTCCTCATCCTCCCGGCACGGCCCTGGGGAGATGGGGCAGAAGAAGGAGAAGTAACCCACGGTCACAAACAGCACCAAAGGGCGAGGGCAGAGCAGCAGGGCCAGGCAGGGCTGTGGGAGCAGCCGGGCTCCCGCTGTCTCACCGGGCCTCCGCCGCAGCCACGCTGCCGGGGCAGGAGCAGCAATTCCAGGACTGTGCCGAGGTGCACCGGGCTGGCATCAGCGCCAGCGGCGTCTACACCCTCCACATCGGCAACCTCAGCGAGCCCAAAAAGGTGAGTGCGGCCCGGCAAGGGATCCCCAGGGTGCTGCCAACCCCAGTGCACACTAACCCCAGACCAGTGCTGGTATCCTGATTGCCTGGCTGTGGCTGCCCCATCCCTGGCAGTGCTCAAGGCCAGCTTGGACACAGGGGCTTGGAGCAAGCTGCTCCAGTGGGAGGGGTCCCTGCCCGTGGCAGGGGTTGGGGCTGGAGGAGCTTTAAGGTCCCTTCAACCCAAACCATTCCACGCTTCTATGATCCCAGTCCCATCTGGCTGGAAGGGCTGAGGCTGCAGAGGGGGTGAAGGGAGGAGCTGCTGGGTGAAGCCAGGGCTTGCACAGACCCCTCAGAAATCTGCAGCACTCATACAGCAGTCATACAGCACCATACAGCACCCCTACAGCACCATGCAGCACCCCTACAGCACCATGCAGCACCCGTACAGCACCCATGCAGCACCCATACAGCACCAGGCAGCACCCATACAGCACCTATACAGCACCATACAGCACCATGCAGCACCCATACAGCACCCATACAGCACCATGCAGCACCCCTACAGCACCCATGCAGCACCCATACAGCACCTATACAGCACCATACAGCACCATGCAGCACCCCTACAGCACCCATGCAGCACCCATACAGCACCAGGCAGCACCCCTACAGCACCTATACAGCACCATACAGCACCCATACAGCACCATGCAGCACCCCTACAGCACTCATGCAGCACCCCTACAGCACCATGCAGCACCCCTACAGCACCATGCAGCACCCCTACAGCACCCATGCAGCACCCATACAGCACCATACAGCACCCATACAGCACCATGCAGCACCCATACAGCACTCATGCAGCACCCATACAGCACCAGGCAGCACCCATACAGCACCATGCAGCACCCATACAGCACCATACAGCACCCATACAGCACCATGCAGCACCCATACAGCACCAGGCAGCACCCCTGCAGCACCCATGCAGCACCCATACAGCACCATGCAGCACCCATACAGCACCATGCAGCACCCATACAGCACCATACAGCACCATGCAGCACCCATGCCTGGTGCTGCCCGCTCCGCAGCCCATCCCGGCTCTCCCCGCTGCAGGCATACTGCGACATGGAGACAGACCGCGGCGGCTGGACCGTCATCCAGCTCCGTGCCAACGGCAGCCTCAGCTTCCAGCGGGGCTGGAGGGAGTACAAACAGGTCTGTGCCTGCCCTGGGAGCGGGGGAGACCCGGGGACACCCCGCACTCACCTCCCCACTGCTCCCGCAGGGGTTTGGGGATGCTGCAGGCGAGTACTGGCTGGGTAACGAGGCCGTGCATCTCCTGACGAGCCAGGGCCCCTATGCCCTGCGCGTGGAGCTGCGGGACTGGGAGGGCGGCCAGGTCTATGCCCACTACGGGAAATTCCAGCTGGGGAGCGAGCGGCAGCTCTACAGGTAGGAGAGAGGCAGCTCCAGCCCCCCCGTCCCCTGCTGCCCCGCGGCGGCCATGGGAGAGGTGGCTGCGGTGCCCCGGGGGTGCGGGATCCCACAGGGCTTCACTGGGGTGTCCTGGGGGAACGGGGGGGGGGTTATGGCTCAGCAGAACTCGTCCCCCGGGGCTGGGGGTTCTGCTCTGCTGCCCCTACTGCTCTCCCCAGGCTCCTCTTAGGTTGAGCTGAGCTCTCAGGCAGAAGCTCTTCCCTGTGAGGGTGCTGAGGCGCTGGCACAGGGTGCCCAGAGAAGCTGTGGCTGCCCCATCCCTGGCAGTGCTCAAGGCCAGGTTGGACACAGGGGCTTGGAGCAAGCTGCTCCAGTGGGAGGGGTCCCTGGATGGAGCTGGAGGAGCTTTAAGGTCCCTTCCAACCCAAACCAGTCTGTGTCTATGGTCCTAATCCCAAGCATAGCATGATCCCCACCCTCGGGGACCCCAAACCATCAGCTCCAGGCCAAGCAGGATCTCTGCCTGCATCCCTCTGTGCCTCTGCTGGTGGCATCCCACGTCCCTCAACCCCCCGGATCAGGGCTGAGGGGCTCTCTGTGGCCCCCACGATGTCCAGCACTGATGGCCCATGCCCACCCGTGCCGCAGGCTGTCACTGCAGGACTACAGCGGCACCGCAGGGCAGCAGAGCGGGTTGGCACTGCAGGGCACCCGCTTCAGCACCCGCGACGCCGACAACGACAACTGCCTCTGCAAGTGCGCCCAGATGCTGTCGGGAGGTGAGCGGAGGTGGGGGGAACACCCCCGTGCAGCACCTATGGGTGCTCCCCATGGGATGCCACCCCCCCCACACCTGCTCCCTCCTCGCAGGCTGGTGGTTCGATGCTTGTGGGCTCTCCAACCTGAACGGCATCTACTACCCAGCACGGCACAACATCCGCAAGCTCAACGGCATCCGCTGGCACCACTTCCAGGGGCCCAGCTACTCCCTGAAGGGCACCCGCATGCTCATCCGACCTGCCGGCTTCTAGCGCCTCAGCCTGGAGCAGGGGCACCGGGACAAGGGGTGGTTCATGAGGAACCATCAGATCCCACCTCCCTTCTCTTCTCGTGCTCTTGGGACTCCTGTTTTTGCCCCAGGATGGGGGTCCAAGGCCCACCAGGACCCCCTGCACATGCAGCCAGGCTCCAAGGCACGCCAGGGCTTTGCCTTTTCTGTCTTTGGGCATTGCAAAGCTCCCACTGTTCCTTTATCCCCACGGGATCAGGGGAGCTGGAGGGGATGAGGATCCTCATGATGGAGGCTTGTGTTGGCAGGGGCTGGCAGAGCCCTGGGATGGGGTTGAGGGGTTGCGGTTTGGGATGGGGCTGCGCAGTGGGTAGCGGATGGGAAGGGTCCTGGGGAGGTCTTGCAGGGGGTCTGAGCTGGGGCAGGGATGGCAGGAGATGGGGATGCAGGCAGCGAGACCCCCTCACCGCAGATGCCTTGAGATGGCAAAACCGGGCTGAGGGCACCTTGGGGAGCAGGCGGAGCAGTGGGGTACGGAGCATCCCAGGCTCCATACGGCAGCACCAGGGCCCCAGGAGCGGCCCCGGGAGCTGGTGGAGGTCGGGCTGGAGCCACTTTTATTTTTGTACTAAGAGATATTTATTTTCCAAGTGTCTGGAGGGGGCTCTGGGGGAGAGCTCTGCAGGGAACCGTTCCTCCTGTTCAGCAGCAGGGCAGGACAGAGGGACCCCAGCAACCTCAGGGGACCCCTAAGGCCTGTGCAGCTCAGTGCATGGGTGAGCACGCAGTAGGACAGCTCTCGGTGACACCCAGTCCCTGTCCCCCCGTTGTCCTCATTCCCTTCAGCCCCATTGCCACTAGATCCCCTTCCCCCCAAGCCAATTGTGGCTCCCTGCAGCATCGTCACCCTTGGGTGCCCCACTGCATCCCCAGGTCACCTTTCCCACTGGTACCCAAGCCCTGGGGAACTGGTGGCAGTGGTGACAACCCCCAAACCAGGTCCCTTTCACCCCTTGCTGGCCGGGTGACAGCTGAGACCTCACAGAGCTGAGTTTGCTGCCACCAAACCCCATTTCCCCCACCCCGGGGAGCAGGGCCGGTACCCCCCAGCGGGGTGAGGGCCATGGGGACGCAGTGTCCTGCTGGCAGGGTGCTGGCACCGGTGCCACCCGGCAGTGTGTGTGTGTGTGGGGGGGAGGCTCCGTTCACGCTGCCCTCGGCACTCGCTAATTAACTGTGATTAAAGCACGTGGCGTGGCTGGCGCTTCCCGAAGGTGCTCATCAGGGCGGGATAATGACAGGATGGGAAACGGAGGGAGGGGGGATGCCGGGAGCGAGCGGCGCTGCAGGAGGCCAGGGCCTCCCGCATGGCTGGGGCTGGGTGCCAGGAGGATGGGGCGGTCCCTGCCCTGGGGTGCTGCACATGGGAGAGCCCGGCATGGAGGGATGAGCGCGATGGAGACCCCGGCCCGGCCATCCCTGCTCCATAGGAATAACAGACGGGATCAGCTGTGGCCCCCACGGAAACCGGAGCCACTGAGAGGCAGCTGCCATGGAAAGTGATAGGGAGCGCTGGGGCCATCCTGCTGTCCCAGCACGGGGCAAGGGGGGCATCCCCAGGGAGACACGCACTGCAGTCCCATGGGTGCGGGGTCAGAAGCCTTGGGAACACGGCTCGTGCTGTGCGTGAACACAGGCACGGGGGCACACAAACGTGCATGCCCACGGCCATGCGTGCACTGGATCACACACACGCAGCAGCACACAGGCTCTGCATGGACACTCAGGGGCTGGGATGCTGCAGCCAAGCCGAGGGGCTGGAGGGACACCACCACCACCACCCCCTGCCCCACGTCCTTGGCAGCAGCATCAAATTTAGACCAAGCTCTGGGCCACACCGAGCCGAGGAATCCAGCACCGCAGCCAGGAGCTGCTTCCCAATGAGCTTTCCTGAGGGGGAACCCTGGCCCTGAGCATGTGCCTGCGGTCCCCATCACCCTGAGGGTTCCAGCTCCCGTGCCCCATGTGCCATCATTAAGGATCCCTTAAGTGTGTGCCTCCTCCCCAGCCCGATTTGTCAGCCTGACTCATGGGCCGGGTGCCAGCACCACATCCTGCCCACCACGTGCTGCCCACCACAATCTGCACGCCGCATCCTGCCCATCACCGCCATATCCCAGGCAGCCGGACCTGCCTGCATCCCAGCAGGAGCTGGATGGATCCTGCACCCTCGTCAGTGGCTTTGGGCAAATGCTCCCAGTGCAGGAGCCAGGATGGAGGGGGAAGCACTTCATCCCCACGAGGGCTCTTTTGGGGACCCCAAGTGTCCCTGTCATGGGGCATGCAGGTGTGTTCATGGATGTTGGACACATTTAAGTGCATCCATGCATGCATGGGTGTGCGTGCATGGATCTGACCCCTTCAGACACGAAACCTGCAGCCCTGAGGTTGGACCTTGCCCCTGGCCTCTCACCACTGCTGCCACCGAGCAGGACCCGTGCCCCACACGCTGGCTCCCAGCCCTTGGAGCCATGGCCCCAAACACTGCTGCCAGAGCTGCAGGGAGGCAGTGGCAGGGCCGGGCTCCAGGCAGGGTCCTCGGGGCTGCAGGTTCCTTGGTGCCCCTTCCCCTGCAGCCTCCCACTTGCATGGGGGGGACCTCCCAGGCGCAGGCAGCACCCCCAGTGCTGGGAGGCTGCGGGGGGCACCCCGGGGGTAACACCCGGGTGCTTTTCATCTTCAAAGCTCTCCCTGCGCTCACTTTCATCCTCAGCCCACCTCGGAGGCCCCGGCTATCGCCGCCCCATCTCAGCATCCCCGGGCAGCCGGGGCCCGGCCAAGCCCCACGGGAGGCTGCACGGTCGGCACGGTGCTGGCTGTGGCACAGAGGGGAATCCCGCGGGAAGGGCTCTGCCGGGGCCTGTCGGAACCAACCGCCGCCGTGCCGTGCCCGCCGGGCCCCGCGCTGGCACGCTACGGCACGGCACCAGTGCTCCCATAGGCACCCGGCACCAGGGTGGGCGCCCTGAGGGTCCCTGCCCCATCCTGACCTCACCTCCTCGAGAGACAGCACCGCACAGAGCATCCAAAGCACAGAGATTTAATAAAACCATCTGCATTGCTGTTGTCGTTGCTCTTTACAGGTCAAACATGAGGAAAACCAGTGGAAATGAGGAAGAGACCGAACAACATCGCCATAAATAGAAGATGTGTCCTGGGAGGGGACACGAGCACTCATGGACACTCACACACACACACACAGAGCCCTGGGAGGTTAAAGTGGGGGGTTCACATTTGCCCCCACCCCACAAAGCATCCGGCATCACCCAGATCTTTAAAATGGGGGTCCCCCACCCCAGTCAGCACGGCCCCCTCAGGGAGCTCTGTGCAGGGCAGGAACAGCCGCTTACCCCCCAGCCATGGGTGCTGGCGAGGAGCAGGGCAGGCAGGGTGACCACACATGGGCTCCCATGCAAATAGGCAACGGGAAGGTGTTGGGGACCCGCCTCGCACCCATGGACACGGGTGTCCTTTGCCCTGCCATGGGGTCACAGTGACCTGGCTCTCCGGTGCTGGCACGGGGATCTGATGGAGCCAGTGGGATGGACGCGTGGCCACCGCACCAGGAAAGCAACGACGGGTCTGAAGGGTCCCATCCCCGCCGAGAGGTCCCCGCTCCTCCATGTCCATCATTGCCTTCTATGAGCAGCCCACCCCGGTGCCCTCTATGGCCGCGGCACCGCTACACGTTGGAGACCTGCTGGTGCTCCCTGGCCTGGCGCAGCCCGTACAGCCACTTGATGACGCGGGCGTTGCGCTCGATGACGGAGATGCCGTAAGGGACGCGCTCGGGCGGGCGTCCCTCCGGCGTGGCGGCGCTGGGCGGCGAGCGGCCGCCCTCCGAGCTGGCCGTGCTCACGCTGTGGAACTTGAGGGAGACGATGTCGGAGCTGGCGCGGGCGAAGCGCTCGGCGCCCGTGTCCTGCAGCTCCTCGGGGTCCAGGCCGCAGTAGTTGAAGAAGCGCTCCAGGTCGGCGGTGGCACGCGACAGCCGGTCGCTCAGGTCCGACTTGGAGCGGTGCAGCACCGGCTGCCGGCGCGCGCTCTCGGGGCGGGCGGGCGAGCTCCGTGCCGGGGCTGCCGGCAGCGCGCCGGGGATGGGGGATGCGGGTACCGGTGTCACCGGTGTCACTGGTGTCATTGGTGTCATCGGTGTCACCGGAGTTACTGGTGTCATCGGTGTCACCGGTGTCACCGGTGTCACTGGCCCCCGTGGAGCCCCGCAGGGACGCACGTCCACCCTCCGCACGGCCACGCTGCCTGGGGGCTTGGCGGCAATGGGACTCTCCGGTGGTTTGGCAGCACCAGCACCGTCTGCCCCACTGCACCGCGGCGCCGGCACCTCCGCCCTCCACTTGCAGTCCCTGCCCAGCGGGTTCTCCGCCTTGGGGAAGGGGCTGTCGCAGAGGTTGATGAGGTTGTTGAGGATCTCCAGGTCGAGGCAGGTCTTGGTGCCCGCGGGTTCGGCGCGACGCGGTCCCGGCGGTGCCCTGCGGCTGGGGGTGAGCACCGCCCGGCGCACCCCCGCTGTGAAGAGGGGCTGCTTGAGCAGCGGTGGCTTCACCGGCTCCTGCCTGGTGCTGGCGACGCGCTGGCTCTTCACGTACTTGGCCTTGTCGGCCTCCAGCCTCTCCACCGCGCTCGGCTTCCCGGCGCCCGGCTCGGTGCCACGGCGGAAATAAGCCGGACCCTTGCGGAGGATGCGGATGGGCATGGTCGAGGTGAAGGGAGCCGTCACCTGCACCGGCATCCCCTTCATGGCGTCGCCGGCCTGCAGCGCCTCGACGGGCATCCTCGGCGCTGGCACCGCGGCACCGGGTGGGTGCCCGGCAACCGCAGCGATGGGCTCACGTGCCGGCAGCTGCAAAGAGGGCCTGGAGTGAGCACGGTGCCGCTGTCCCTGCCCGGCCCCACCGCAGACAAAGGCTGCCCGGGCTGTGTGCGGTGCCGCACTGTCTGCGCCGGCAGCGCCGGGCTGCTATTTGAAGGCAGGAACCACGCCTCCATCGCCACCGCGGCCTCCCCGGCACCGTGCATGGCCAATCGGCGCAGCCGGCCTGCTTCAAACCGCACCCGGACCAATGGGGATGGCGGGGAGGGAGCCCCAGCCACGGCAAGGGGCACCCCGGGGAGCGAGGCTGGGGTGGAGAGGGGTGGTTTGGTCCTGCACCCCTCAGTGATGCTCTGCCTGCATCGCCTGTGCCCAAGGGTGCATCACCTGCACCAAGGGATGCATCTCCCATGCCTGGGGGTGCATCACCC